GGAATGATGGGATATTGACACTGGGTATACTAGATGTAACTGGAATGATGGGATATTGACACTGGGTATATGCCATACATAAGTCATTCTACTATCATCGACTACTACTGTGAATGATGATAGCTTGTCAAATGGATTGTGAGCCGTTAAAGTACCTTTTCTAACAACATATGGCATTAGCTGATCCTCTTGATTTGCCTGGTACAGGAGTTATTCACCCCTTTCATAAACAACTGATCTTAGCCATCATAGGATCTTCTATCAAATGCAGGAAGACTATCTCTTAATTGAAGGGAAAATTATTGCAAAGTGAGTGAAGAAGAACAGTTGATTGACAGTTAGGTAGAGATTCAGTGAGTGACGTTACAAGTAAAGAGGACGATGACGATACTGTGGAAGAACCAGAATCATGGAGTAGTCAAGGTACTGCTAGACAAGGATTTCATTTCATGCTTATAGTGAAACGAAAGAGGAATATGAGGACAAGACTAACTTTCTAGAATATTTTGAAAAACTTGTGTGCTCTTATAAGCACAAAAAACGAACTTGAAGCTAATATATATAGAAATGTGAGTGGATGAACTTTAATCATCATGACATAAAAACACTATCAGGTATACTTATTCTCCAAGGTATAATACAGATGTCTGTTGTACACACCATGTACTTTTCAAAACTTGGGAGTATTGCGACTCCTTGGTTCTTTACAATACTTGTTTAAAAGCATTTTCATCTGTTGTTGAAATTTTTACACTTCGTTCACCACGAAAACTTCAATACTGATTGTCCAAACAGAAAAGATATCCAAAAAATCATGAATTACCCAAGGGAAACATTTTATTCACTGTAAATTCCCAAGTGTTTTATTACAGTAGACGAATCATTTCAGACCCAGAAAAGTTTACTTTCCTGGAATCAGTACATACCCTCCAAATGCCATACACATTTAGGTATGGCATCAAATTCTACACACTACACAAGAATAAATGGTGAGTATATATGGAGTTTCATAGTATACACTGGGAAAGATACTGATTAGTGACAAGCATTAAGGGAAAAATATATCTTCTATAATAGTTCTTGAATTGGTAGACAATTTGACCAGGTGTACACACTATACCTACATAACTGGCACATAAGTTATGATCTAGTAGATTAGTTATTTTCTTGCCTCATTGACAGGGTAGGAACTACTGGGTTGAAAAGAAAAAGGTATTCCTGAAATGTCCAGAAAGCTATACTCAAGAAGGAAAAATCAGAGGCTGCTTTTCAAGTCAAAGAAATGACTATGAAATGGAATGATAAAATATGTGACGGCTGTGAATACTGTTAATTGTACTGAAATGTGCAATGGTGAAACAAAGCATGGTGCTGTGCAGAAGTCGACTGCAATTTGTGAATCTTAACATGAAGATGGGGATATGGATAGAAGTGATAGGCAGTTGTGTCTTATGATAAGACAAAGAAATATTACCATAAAAGTCTTAGAACTCATAGATATTTTTTGCCCCAATTCATTTGTTTTATACCACAAAAATAATGGTAAGATAAAGAGACTGAATTATTTTTTATCACACTGGCTGAGAAGTTAACTGAACTCAGGAAAAACCATTTAAGTTACCATGGCCAACCCAGCTTACTGAGTAAAATTTTCCAGCTGCAATCCAACCCACAACAAAAAAAATCTCCCACTATTAGGAGCATAGTGTGGCATAAGCCTGAACAATACATACAATCAAAGTACTTATGATTAGACTGCAGTCAGGCTTTATCCAGCCTTTCACTTCAAAACCCACCACATACAAAAATAAAAAAAATGTAATTCCTAATTATCATCTGTTGCTCTTGTGTGGGGATTTGTAACATTACTGTGAAAACTAACATTTTTTTTTGTCAAGTGTAAATGTGTTCTGAATAAATATATCAGCATTTTTGTACAAAATCTGCACAAGAAAAGTATTACTTAACCCTTTCCACACGAGTATGTCATCACGTTTGTTGACTCGCATTAAAAATTTTATTGAACTATTATTTTAGTAACTTATGTCAATAAGTTTGGTATCAAATTGTCGATTATAATTCAAATTATACATTATTTAATTTCTTAATATAAAGTTAAATATTAAATAAACACATCTAAAATCGATTTTTGTGTGTCATGAGGTATTATTAATGCATCACTGGTTCAAATTATATGTTCACGATGTCAAAATACAAAGTTTATAGTTTTGTATGTATTAGGATCTCAAATTACTGATATTGACAATCAGAATACAAAATAAGAACCTCCTATCTTTTCTATTCGCTCACGTACTGAATCAAACACAGTGGCCCCGCTCACTTTTTTCCATTTTGGAAATGCTCCCTTA